TAGATGGCCCGAAATGAATTGTGAGCGATTAAAAGGGCAAAATGTTCACTTCAAATAAGACCTATCGCGGGCTTGGGTGGGTGGGGGATGACCGACACCCTAAATACGACACTGAAAGCAAAGCTAGTACTTAAGAAGCATTTTTGCGATCTTCTAGTTGTTTTGCATGGACCTTTTCTTGTGTTTTTCAGTATGATGAGTTCCAAGTATATAACTTTTATGGTTTTTCTCAAGAACACCAAGATTTAATGAATTATGACATAAGCCAGTGTTATAACAACAATCAGAAAATTAAAATAGATTTTCAAATTCCAGGTAATCTACATGTTTTTAATCGAAATATTCTGAAATATTGTTAAAAGTTCAGATAGTGGAAATGTGGCTTTTGAAAGGAAAAATTAAGTACACTGCCAAGATCTTTCATGAAAAATTTCAAACAAGTAATCTGCTAAATCTTGAAATTTGGTTATGAGTTCCCGTACATCAATTCTTGATTAATCAATTCAAGTATCTTGTGCTCATTGTGAACTCAAAACGCATTTATGAAGTATCTTGCTCATTTTGAACTCAACAAGCAGTTATGAATTATCTTGCTCATTTAGAACTCAACAAGAATTAATGAAGTTTCTTGCTCATTTAGAACTCAACAAGAATTAATGAAGTATCTTGCTCAGTTTGAACTCAACAAGCGGTTATGAAGTTTCTTGCTCATTTAGAACTCAACAAGAATTAATGAAGTATCTTGCTCATTGTGAACTCAACATGCATTTATGAATTATCTTGCACATTTTGAACTCAACAAGCATTAATGAATTATCTTGCTCATGTTGGACTCAACAAGCATTTATGAAGTATCTTGCTCATTTTGAACTCAACAAGCATTTATGAAGTATCTTGCTCATTTTGAACTCAACAAGCATTTATGAAGTATCTTGCTTATTTTGAACTCAACAAGCATTTATGAAGTATCTTGCTCATTTTGAACTCAACAAGCATTTATGAAGTATCTTGCTCATTTAGAACTCAACAAGCATTTATGAAGTATCTTGCTTATTTTGAACTCAACAAGCATTTATGAAGTATCTTGCTCATTTTGAACTCAACAAGCATTTATGAAGTATCTTGCTCATTTAGAACTCAACAAGCATTTATGAAATATCTTGCTCATTGTGAACTCAACATGCATTTATGAAGTATCTTGCTCATTTTGAACTCAACAAGCATTTATGAAGTATCTTGCTTATTTTGAACTCAACAAGCATTTATGAAGTATCTTGCTCATTTTGAACTCAACAAGCATTTATGAATTATCTTGCTCATTTAGAACTCAACAAGCATTTATGAAATATCTTGCTCAGTTTGAACTCAGCAAGCATTTATGAAGTATCTTGCTCAGTTTGAACTCAGCAAGCATTTATTTAGTAATTTGCTTCATTTATAACTCAACAAGCGTTTATGAAGTATCTTGCTCATAATGAACCCAGTAAACATCTTCTCCATAATAAACTTTACAAGTATTTAAGAAGTTCATATAAGTATTTAAATACGGTCTGCTTCAGGTAAATATCAGAAAAATGCAGAAGATAATCGAATACTATTTCTGTACAGTACACTGGTCTCATTAGCTGGTTATATGGATGTTTCTCCACTTCGAATATCACATATTCAGGTAACATTGCTCCTATAAATACCAACATTGATCTTATAAATACCAACATTGCTTTTATAATACCAACATTGCTCTTATAAATACCAATAGGTTTGATCAGGTCCCAAAGCCTTGAGTTGTTGGAATGGGAAAATGAATCGTGGACCTATACGAGGCCATAATTCTGGATCCCTCGATGGTTGAAAATGAACACAACTGC